CACAGTGCCATCTACACAATGCCAATTGCACAATTCTGACTGCACAATGCCAACTGCACAATTCTAACTGCACAATTCCAACTGCACAGTGCCAACTACACAATGCCAACCGCACAATTCCACCTGCACAGTGCCAGCTGCACAGTGCCAGCTGCACAATGTCAAATGCACAGTGCCAACTACACAATGCCAATTGCACAATTCTGACTGCACAATGCCAACTGCACAATTCTAACTGCACAATTCCAACTGCACAGTGCCAACTACACAATGCCAACTGCACAATTCCAACTGCACAGTGCCAACTACACAATGCCAACTGCACAATTCCGACTGCACAATGCCAATTGCATAATGTCAACTGCACAATTCCAGTTGCAAAGGCCAGCTGCACAATGCCAATTGCACAACTCCAACCACACCATGGTGCCAACTGCACCATGCCAACTGCACAGTGCCAATTGCCCAATTCCAGCTGCACAATTCCAACAGCACATGGCCAACGGCACACTGCCAACCTGTTGCTGGTGCCACGGAGAAGGCCTTGCCAAGGCTCTGAGGCGGCTTTGGATGCTCCCCCCTCGTTTCTGCCGTCACCTTCACCCCCTCCCTGTGCGACCCAGCCGAAAAGGCCCCGTACAGATAAGTCTCTTGACCCAGTTCATCGCCCCCCCCACGCACACCCTGCCTTTTTTCTGCCTCGTGCAAATTCCCACAAGCCCCCTCCGCGGAGGGCCTAAGAGGGATTTATTATTTCCTGGTTTATTAACTCTGAAAAGCCGGGGGAATTTCAGCTCTTTTGCACGTAAATCGCCGGGAGTGGGTTAAACAAAGGCCAGGCTGTGGGGCAGGGTCTCTGGATGTGGGAAAGAGCTGACCTCTTTTCAGCGGTGCAGCCTGCCGCACAGACTGGTGCCCGGTGGGAAGAATCAATTAGAACAGGTTGCTTTGAGGATCCCTTTTCCTCTGGGAAGGCCCGAAGGGAAAAGGAAAGCCTTGGCGAGCCGCGCGCTTTTCGGTGCCAGTTGCTTTCCGAGCCCGCCCAGCCTAAGATCCTCCTCCTCCTCCTCATTGTTATTATTCATTTTTATATCCCTCTCCTCTTCTTCAAACTGGTCGTACTGCACGCGTGTGCCACACTGGCGGAGGGGAGCATCGGAATCCAGGACCCTGACTGCCCGATCAGAAGCCCAGCACTTCATTAAGGCAGCCCTCTTCTCCGATTTATTTATTCATGGATCACTAAGCCTGTGGAACTCCAGGCAGCATCGACAATGCTCCCTCCGCCTCTTTTTCCCACAACAACCCTGTAAGGTGGGCTGGGGGGGAGAGAGGGACTGGCCCCAAATCACAAAGCTGGCTTCCTGGTTCTTTATTTGCTAGAGCTCTCTCCCACCTTTCCTTCAGGAGCTCAAGGCAACGAGCACAGAGCCCTCTCCCGCCCTTCCCGTTTCCCTTCACAACAACAACCCTGTGAGGTAGGCTGAGCCGAGAGACAGTGCCTGGCTCGGCCTCACCCAGCAAGCTTCCATGGATGTGGATGGACTTGACCTGGGGTCTTGAACCCAATACCTTAACAATAATGGGCAACCCCCATTAACTTCAACCCCCACAGCATGGCCCTTAGCAGTTAAAAGTTGGGCTGTGAAGGGAGAGGAAAGCGAGAGTAAATTAAGTAAACATGATCATAAATGTGCTTATGGTAAAGTTAACATAAATGTGTTAACCTTTTGCAGGGAGGGAGGGAGGGAAGGAAGGAAGGAAGGAAGGAAGGAAGGAAAGGAGAGAGAAAGAGAAGAAAGGGAGGAAAGAAAAGTGAGAGAAGAAAGGAAGGAAGGAAGGAAGGAAGGAAGGAAGGAAGGAAGGAAGGAAAGGAAGGAAGGAAGGAAGGAAGGAAGGAAGCACGGGGATGGATAGTAAGTAAAGATATGTAAACATTATCATAAATGTGCTTATGATAAAGTTAACATAAATGTGTCAACTTCTTATTGATGTGGGCCGTGTCCACATTCCCCTCTAAATGGTTCTCTAACAGTCATAATCCATCCGAGAGGCCGCAAAGGATGCTGGGGCTGCCTTGAGCGTTTGGCTCCGCATTGCGCTCCTGCCTCCCCTGCCTTCACCATTACCGTCCTATTTGGCCGGCCCAACCCTTTGGTGAAGTGGAGCAGGCCATGAATTTGGAGAGTCGGCCATCAAGTTCTGCAGAGCAGATGATGGGGGGTGGGATATCTTGTCACCCCCCAATCAGCATTCTGACTTCCAAGGATGTCTTCCCAACCAGGGGGGTCCACAGGGGAAGGTCAAAAAAGAGGGCAGCAGGGACAATCGAAGCCACCACCATGACCCCCAAAACCCAAGAAAAGGTTGAACACAAACTGAACTGGTAGCCCAGTGGGCTTCTGTAACTGGAATGGGACGGGGTGCCATTTTGTTCCATACCTTTGGCAAAAAAGAGGCTTGGTGTACACCAGTCCGAGAGAATTTAGGTGGGACAATTGAATGGGGAGATGTTCCTCCCTTTTTTCATAAAACAAGGAGAACTAGTGATGTTCAGACCTTCCAACACCATCCAGATGTTCTCCCCAAGCTTCAGCCAGTTGGATCAAGAGTTGGGCTGGGCGCACGTTCCCTTAGGTCCCCCCAAATCTTTCAAGCTCTCCATGGGTCACTCTCCCTTCTCCTTAGTTATCCATCCTCCTTTCCTTGGCCCCCAACCCAGGCCAGATGTTCAACCTTGGCGCGAGGAAGGAGAAAAGATTTCCCCAACCATTTTGAGCAACCTTGATCAATGGCTTCTGGCAACCCCAACTGCTCAATGCAATGCAGATGGTCCTTCCAAAGGACGCCCCTCCCTGTTTCTCACCCCGACACAAAAGAAAGTCAAACAGCATCGCTAATTCGGCTTGTAACTTGGCACACTTCCGTTCTCCAGGGCCTTCGGTGGCTTGAATGGGGCTGCGGTGTGGGAACCTCGGCCCAAGCTTTGCTCACAGCCCCAGACTCACAGCCCCACATCTGCCTGCCGGCGGGCAGACATAGGAGGGGGGAGAAGAAGATGAAATGGGTCGAGGGCAGAAGGAGGAGGAGAACAGAGAAGAACTCAAACGGGACTCATCGAAGTTCCTTCTGGTTGATGGGTGGCTCTATGATTAATTAATTAAATTAATTGATTAATATAAAAAGGAACAGCCCATCCAACAGGAATGAACACAAATAATAATAGCTGTGGTATTATTCTCATTCTCCTCCTCCTCCTCCTCCTCCTCCTCCTCCTCCTCCTCCTCCTCC